ACTCTCCGCTGTAAAACAAAACACGTTTTTCAGAAAGTGCTTCAGTTGACAACTGGAGAATGATGTCCCTCCAAAGGGATCCGGCCTTTCAGCAAATGGTGTTTGGTTAGAACACAGCAGGACGGGCAGCAACATATATGATGATCTCTACTTTGTCACCTTTCTTCTTACAAAACAGCGGTCCTGTCCAAAAGGGCGCAGTCAGATTTGCACAAAAGGCTTAATACCTCACATTAAACTAGGATAAATCATACTGCCTGACAAGCACCACAGACAAAGGAAGTTTGTGCAAGGGATATCGCCAGACAAAACCAAAGGGTGTGCTGTCAAATTGCCTCTGCTGTTTGGGGAGGGAGAACAGTGCGGACGGCAGATTCCCCAAACCTGCTCTCAGTAGCAACCCGGTGCAAAACACGTTGAGGCCACGGGACAGGATCCCGAGGCTTTGGATCAGTCCTGTGAGAATCTAAACGCTGGACGAGCTGCCGGACTGTGGCTTCTGTGGGATGTTGGTGCCAGGTGAACGGCCCAGGTTTCAGTCTGCTGTGGGGACCCCCACCCACAATAAGCTCTGGCAAAGAGAGGTCTGATCTGCTGCCAAGTGCTGCTGCAGGGGCTGTCCCTGTGCCTGCACACATCCCCCCCAGCCTCTCTATCCAAGCACTCAGTTAAGCAGCAAACACCTTATTTATTATGCTATTCAGAAACAAAATGACAACATTCACGCAGCCTCAGCCAGAGCAACATCTGTTATTCGTGGCACTTCAACACAGCGCACCTACTGCCAGATTCAAAGGCACCAAGCTACGAGGCAGAAACCAGGAGCCAAAGTGGGTGAGCAGGGAGGAAATTTCCTTGCTAGGTAGGGTCCAGGGGACTACAGGCGTACTCCAAAGCACAGAGATTAAATAACTTCTTCGCAACTTGACAACTCTGAGCAGCCAGACCAACACCATTATCTATTCTGCTGCAAATCTGCTTGTGACAAGATATATATTGCAAGCTACAACAAGCATCAATGTTCACATCATCCTTGCCAAGTTTTAAAAAAATATATAAATGACAGAGTGCAAAGCAAGCTGATCCTTATGAGAAAAACAAATCTCCAAAGACGGACATCTCAAGGCCTGCGTTCTCACATCTCCACCCAGCTTTCGGGAATAAATGTCGCAGTGTATCAAGGAAACACTTCCTTGGGACACTGTGCCAGCAGCCAGCAGCACATCTGTGTGAGAAAAGGGAGGCGTGTCAGGCAGAGGACGGTGCACACAGCTGTGCTGGTCACATCCTTGTTATGAAGCCGATGAACTCCAAACTTGCACGTGCCCTCAGGGTAGGCGTACCTTGTAGCTCCAAAGAAAGCAACTGATGTAAATGCTCATCAACAGCTCTAGAGGCAAAAAGTCGAGAATGTTATAAACACCTCACCCAGATGATACAGAATTACTGCAAGCATACGAAAATCAGGACACTGTCATTGGTCTAATTTCCACCAAATTCAGATCCTTCTCTGAGTAAAGCCTGACAAACGGTTAGTAATGACCCAAAAACATGACAAGGCTTTTCCCCTCCCAACTGTTGCTTTACCCGTGGTAGACAAACACCCATTTAAACTATATTGCTACCAAATATTTTCTCCTTAGAACCTCTGCTTATTTTCTAAATAACCTCTCTAAATAAACCAAACAGAAAGGAGGACTACATTTTAGAGATGAATAAATAGGCCATTATTATTCTAATACAGTGTTCTTATATCCCACTGATGAGAGTAAAAGCCAAATAATTCCCATGGAGGAGGAACAGAACTAATGATACACTTTTCAGCACTTACCATAAGCAATTTTTATTGCAGTAATGGGGAAAAGCAGCGGATTTCAGAGCACATAATGGAAGGCAATTTTAAAATCTGTTTTAAAAAGGGGTGATGCACACAGGTAGTTATATTGGCAATCCTCTCTACAGCAGCAGTGACTGATCCACCCAAAGAAGCAGACCCTGTGACCGCTTCCTCTCCACTGTGTGTCTGCATATTTGCTCAAAGGCCAATAATCTCTCCACTGTATGGAGAGATCACCCATGGAAATGTTGTGCAGCGAGATCACCAGTCTCAAATAAATCTACGAGAAGCATCCAAATTAACTTCATAGAGAAAGCAAATAGAGGCCAGGCCCCAGGCTTCCAGCCTTTTCTCAGCTTTTCCAATAAATCTCGCTCCTGGTGGCTGATGGTGGCTAAAGGTTATCACAGCCTTCCCAGGGCAGCACAAGGTATGTGGAGGAGCTGTGTGGAGAGCTTGGTGCCAGCAGCAGTTACAGAAAAGTATGAGCACACAGAAGAGTATGGACAATAAATCTAGCCCTTTGCGTGGAGACTGAATTTATTAGCATTATTACTAAACTTTCAGCTATGAGCTAAACAGGCAAGTAACCATAAACATCATTAGCTTTTTTTTTTTTTAATTTCCCATCTGCATCTGTAAGATAATGTAAAACCAGTGAAAGACCACTTATCCGTGCAAGTGTATCAGTCTTCCGAGCACAGCCAGGGAAAGTGGCTGCCAGCCAAACAGTTCTGAAAATACAAAACAAAACAACAAAAACCACCAGGGCTTTTCAGCAGATACACAGCATCACTACACACCGAGTGAGGAAAGCGGAGCATTTTCAGACAGGCTTTCTGAAAAAGAAATCGGTCACATCCTTTACTCTCAGGCACGTTTTGGCACTGATTTTGGTAAGAGCAACAACTGAACCCAGGAGGGCTAAGGTGATAAAAATAAAAATATATATATATATTTTTTTTCTCAGTATTACTTGTGCACATCCCAAGCCGGACGAAGGCAGGAAACAAAACAGATTGGTACTTCTTATTTTTTTCCTTTTGCTTTTGGAAGTGTCCCAAATTATAGTACTGAAGACACTCGTCAGTGTGCTGAGGTTTTCCCGCTGACCATCACACTGGCACAGATGGCCAGGCCTGCCCAATCTCATAGCAATCAGAAGCAACAATATAAAGGCAAACAAGAACAACTTTTGCTTAAGCGGAGGTGTGAACCTGTATCAGTGTATGGAAAAAAATACTTCTTGTCTCTGTGCAGACTTCACAAGCAAAAACTGGATCATATAGACCCAGGAATGCCAACATCCAGGAGCAAACAGCTGTACATAATACCGTTATGGGAACTGCCCAGTGGGAGTTCAAGGAAATGAAACGGAAGACAGGCTGGTTATGAACCCTGCCTGTTTCTTTGCTCTGTTTCTGAGCTCTCTCAAGGTCATGGATCTCAGTAACTGGGTAAGTAACTTTTATTGGATGGAGCAAAATGAAGCACCAGGCCAGAGGTGTGCTTCCTCTAGCCAGGACAAACTATTTGATCCAAACTAGCACCTAAAGGGCAGGTCGTCCACATTTTAAATGTCCTGTCTTTTCCTCAGTAATTTGCTGCATCTTTCCTCTTCCAAATTTGCACAACATTGCTTAAAGTTGTGATTTTTTTTTTACAGTCCCTGCCTCCTCTCCTAGGTTCTGCATTCTTTTTTAATACAATCCCAGAAGAGGTGGTTTGCGATTACCAGCTTTTCTTCTTATGAGCTGTACCAATTTAAATTATTTTATTCCTTCCCTCAAACATCTATTCAGATACTCTACAGCCTTATTAAGGAAGAGACTTACTGTTTAATAAACACCTACTTTTAAGACGGAGCTATATTTCTCACCCTTGAAACAAGTCTCAGCTGACAGGTGGACAACCAAACGGGTTTTAATTTTCAGTATTAAATAGAAAAAAAATATTTTCTTCAAGTTTCAAGTGAAAATTTTGTCTCATCTGTCCTATATTCAAAATTAAATTCACATAAGGATTTGTGCAGCGCGGCTACAGTCTGAACTCACAGCATCCTCACATCCAGGGGTCTCTACGCTTATGCAGTGGCACTATGTGACGGGTCGATTCGTCCTGTTATTCCTCCAGAGTAGTATGAAGGGAGCAAAGATCTGTGTAAACTCCTAGAATAAACACAACTGCCTCACTACAGACTTGGTAAATTATGGTTTGCTGAAATGGCAGAGATGGCAACAAAGTCAACAGTTATGGAAAAACGTCAGGAAAACTCACTGGCTATAAAAAAATCTTTTTTTTTTTTAAATCTAAAATCAATCTGTGAAGATGCAAACTGCAAAAACTGAAGCAATTCTAAACTAATTTCTATTTTTCTCACCCAGCAATTCCTGTTACAGTCACATCAATGATAGCTGGAGAATGAAAATCACATGTTTTTACTAGAATTTCTCTGAATGGTTACTTACCAAGGATCAGAAGCACATTGGAGGAACCGGGTCTGTCTTTTGCCAAGACAAATCTACTCAGATAAGGCTAGCTTTAAGACAATATATACATCCTGCACTGGAACAGGCATTGCTCCCTGCAAGCAGAAACAGGGCTCTCTCTGTGTGGACAAGATGCCCCAGTTGCTGTCAGCCATGGGGTTTTGCAGCCACTGGCAGGGCAAGGATGGCTGCATTGCAGGCAGGAAACGGGGCTGGGACCCCACTGATAACCCACCCTGCAGCCCCCAAGAAAAGATAAAGAGCTGAGGCTGCTGTTGTTGTATGAAAGGGGAATGCATTCGATAACATGGAAGCCTCCCTCCCCATCAGTTATTGCCCCCTTATTCCTCACAGCTTTTCCCCCTCCACCTCACCAGAGCAGGGTGTCCCTGGGAGAAAAGGAGCGGGGAAAACCCTCTTTAAAGAGGAAAAGTCTTTTTAAAGAAGAAAAATGGGTAAAAAGCAAAATCAGAAGGAAAAAAAAAAAAAAAAAAAAGACCACCACTAAGCAAACAAGGAGCTGTGATGGGAAAGGGGGAAAGGAGAAGAAACAAGAAACATGAGGATGAGCGGAAAATGCAGACTTTGGAAAAGACTAAAACACCACAAGGACAAATAGTAGGTCAGAGAACAGAGAACAGACACGGGGAGGTCATGTTCAAATTGTTCAAATTTTACTGAAAGTTTGGTTTTCTACAATGACCTTGATTGTGGGTTGATTTAGTTGCTTCAGCCAAACAAAAACAAAACAGGAAACTCCACAATTGACCAAATCAGAAAACATACAGAAGAGAGAAAGGAAATGCCAAACATTTGAATGAGTTTGGCAGAAATTCAAGTGGAAGAATTGACTCCAGTTGACATTTACATTTCTAGGAACAATGATTTTCTTTTATAATTCTTTTTGAGAGATTTTTCTTATTGGTCTTGTATTTCAACTGTTTGGTTGGGAGAAAATCTTGCGCTGAAATATATGATTGCAAAACCAGGTTGGTGTATTTTTAAAATTCACTTAAAAAAAAAAATACTAGTAGTTGTTTCAGTATTTGGTAACCTAAAACTTCAAAATCTCAATGAACTTTGTCCACATTGAAAGCATGACAGCATCTGTCAACCTGAATTATTTTAGAACGAGGCCACACTGACTTAAAATATCTGTTTATGCACAGCACATGGTAAATACTCAGGCAGATAACATGGAATACGCTTTCAGATGTATTTGATTGCACTAGCATAACCCAACAACAACATTACAATGCAGATTTTCTTTTTTCTTAGTCTAAAGCAAATACAAAAGTCAACAATATTGTGCTTGAGTTTTTGCAAACAGAACCCAAGAGCATTCTGAGTTCCTGCACTACATCAGCCAGCAGAATTTGCCCTTAGTGCACCAATATAGAAAGTAATATCTTATGTGTATACCTATGCTTGCATGTTGACATTTGTTCTGTATATAAAAACTTTCTGTGCATAGTCCTAAAATTTCACAAAGGAAACATCGCCTTGATAAATAACTTTTCTTTTACTATTTTATGAGCTACAATATCGTATCAAGACTGTTAGTATTTTTTTTTAAGTGACTTAGCCATTTGCATGATCATAATATACGAGCAAATGCACTGAAAAGCATCAAAGTAAAATTAACTACCTCTTAATAACGAGGCCTCTTCCTATCACCAAGTGTTGCTGTTTCCAGGAGGACTGGGCAGGTGGAAGCTTAATTTAGTTGCATAACATTCAAGACTGCATTTTTTGTGCACTAAGAGCACCTATTGACTTCAAACAGGAATAACAGGATCTCAAAATAGGGCATAAAATGTGCAGAGCACTGAAAAATTAGTAACTCTGCAAAACAGTGGCAGTTGATCTAAATATACTGCATAGTTCTTGATGACTGGCAATAGGAAAAGCACAAATGTAAGAAAGTGCCCTGTATTCCTCCCTAGAGATAACCTGTTTGTTATTTCAAGCCAGAAATCCAAAAAAAAATTATGGATCTCTGCCCAAGTGCACACATCTGTCTCAACAGTGTCATCATAGGGTTGACTCTACACATAGCAAGTCAAAAAATGTTGCTACTTGTGTAAGTTTCATGCGAGACATTTCAAGAGTATTATTTTTTCAAACTTGCCTGATGATCAGTCTTGTGCACACTGGGATCCTGCCAGGGAATTGTCTTTTTTTTATTCCTACCAATGGGAAAGCAAGAGAAAAAAAAGTGTTAGTAGACATAAAATAAGAATGGCTAGACAGCTCTAACATGTGGCAAAATATCAGCCGTCCTACTGCAGCTAAAATACAAAAAGATTACATTAAACAGGAAAGAAGTAAGAGAAATCTAAGTCTTCCTATTTGGACAAGCAATCCTGTCTTTACTTTTCACCTGCCAGCTCTGGCTGTGCACAGCAGTTAAACGCGCCACGCTCACAGGCTGGAGCTATTGTCTTGTAGGACTTTTGTTTAGTCTGCAGAAGATGGCTGCCTTAAACAATAATAATAAAAAAGAACTTTGTATTATCAGAACTCGTGCCAAGCAGCAATAAAGCATTTTTATGGCTTTTGGATTTCACGTGAGGTTCTGATCTGTAGCAATTACCTCCTTCCAGCACGTGTGCCCCCTCTTTGTGGCTGACGGGGAACGTAAAGCCAGGAAAACTGATACTGGTTATGCATGAGCCACTTCAGTGTGACTATTGAAGGCACATTGGCTACTCCTGAGGTTTAATCCTCACTGCTTCACCTGGGCAGAACACTTACAGATCTACAACAACTAATTGACCGTTTCTTTCTGCTTTTTTCTCTTCCTAGAGAATATGATCATGTCCATATCTCACTGGCACATGCCTTCATGAGACCAACAACAAAAAAAATAGCGAGTTACAGGGGGGATTGGTTTGGTTTTTAAATTTAATTTCAAAGCCTATGAACATCAGGTAATAATGCAATACATCTGAAACAGAATTAATGCGCTCCAGATAGAAATAGAGAATCACAGAACAGTTTGGGTTGGAAGGGACCTCAAAGCCCATCTAATTCCACCCCCCTGCCATGGGCAGAGCCCCCTCCCAGCAGCCCAGGTTACCAAAACCCCATCCAGCCTGGCCCTGAACACCCCCAGGGATGGGGCAGCCACAGCTTCTCTGGGCAGCCTGCTCCCATGCCTCACCACCCTCTGAATAAAGAATGCCTTCCTTGTATCTAATCCAAATTTACCTTCTTTTCATTTAATGCCATTACTCCTTGTCGTATCACTACGCTCCCTGACAAAGAGCCCTTCCTCAGCTTTCCCATAGGCCTGGTTTAGGGACTGGAAGGATAACATAGGGTTATTTGGAAAAATATACTTCCTACAAAAAAAGATGTCTCTATTTGTGTCTAACACTGGACTCACTGCTGAAATTGTTATTTTAACAGGATGTTGCATGTATTGTGTTAGTCTCTTACCAGGGTTTTCATTTTTTCTTGCTATTTTAAATATGTAAATTAGTATAAAAGGAAAAATATTTTGCTAAAAGTTCAGACCCACTAAAAGTAAATATTCAAAGTGCTGTACACTGAATCTCTTAAATGATTGCTGCGTGACATTTTCAGTGTATGACTAATTTGTGACTTTCACACCTCTTATCCAAATGATCCTAGATATCCTTGGCTTTTGAGAAAGCTGGAAAATGCATATTTATTCCAAAGACAGGCATGGAGGGCCGCAATTCTTTTAAATCCAGGACTCAAATCCAAGCTCTGAGATTTAACCCTGCAAGTTTACCTAGCAGTAGTTTGCACCAAATTCTGCAAACCCAAATTCCAGATAGCTGTAGATGTGAGCAATGCCATAGCAAAACTGAAATTGATAGATTTGTGCATTTCTAACAAATCTCAGCAAAGAGCTCAAAAAAAAAAAAAAAAAGTGTTATTGCAATGACACCTGGGGAAAAGGAAAAAAAAAAATATATATATATATATATGCAAGTGAAACCTTAGAAAAGAGTTTGAACTGAACCCTTTCTTCTGAGCTGAGACGGATCATTCCAGAGCAATACTTTCCTCCAGGATACCTACAACTGCTTAATCTGTTCTGTTTTGCAGGGGAAACGCATCTTTTCCAAATGGCTGCACCGAATGTAATTTTCCACGCAGGTTCAACAAACCGCAATTACTGACATTTCTCCTCCCAGCAAAGAAGGTGAAAGTTAAGTGTTAGTTTGCAAGATGTGCTGAGCCATCATTAACACGACTGCTGCTCTGCAAAGGCACAGCAACAGCAGTTGCTGTTCAGTCAACAGCAAAATGTTTGTTTGCTGACCATCTGAAGTTACAACAACTAGGCAGGTTACTCTTTTTTAACATTAAAATGAGAAGCACAATATTTGACGTAGAGTTTTCATGCAGGAAGAAAACATAACTTAGGGAGATGCTTATCTCTACTATTGCTGCTCCCCAGCAATAACCACAGAATGTGGTATAGAAAAGCCGACAGGATCAGATTAGGATAAGGTTACTTTATTTAGTGCCTACAATTTTAGAAACAACTGGCGTTTCAGCTGAAAGTCATCAACAGAATAATGTCGAAGTTTCACTGCATTGACACCAAGGAATTTAGATTTACACTGCAATGTGATGAAGAGGAACTGTTACCAGCTATCTCTGAGCTGCTGCTTGTGTTTATCTTTATTACAGAGAGCGTTTAGCCAAGAATCAAGACTAGCAGTTCTTTAGTGAGGCTCTCATAGCTTTTTTTTTTAAAAAAAAAAGCTGAAATAGTACAAACATTTAAGAGAAGATTTCTGAAAGCTCAGAGGTGACTTTCAGTGGAATTCATACCTCTGAATCACGTAGGATACGTAAGGAGTTTCCCTGGGAATTCCAGGGGAATCTTTAGCTACTTGCTCAGTGTGATTTTTAGGAGAAGCGTTCACTTACAAGTCAGGTTAGCAGATTGAAAACACTGCTCCCTGAGACATCGCCCAATTTTACAGCAGCTGTTACCTTAAGCCTTTGTAGTCATTCAGATCTAGTTGCACTCCAGCAGTCCACTGAAGGTGACAGCTTTGCACAAAAGATTTACTATACCATACTAATACAATTAAGCCTTAAAGCCCAGATCCTTTAAATTATTTCAGATGGACAGACTGTCAGTCTGTACAAACATCTGTTGCAAGAGGCCTCCGTCCTGCAAGGGTTTATTGATGAGAAACAGCTTGCAGAACGGGAGCCTACCTTTGTGTTTGAGCAAATAGGTGCTGAGGATGTTTTACGTGCAACAAAACATCACCAGTGGGCTAATTGCTGAGCGATCCTTTAAACCTGCTGCTTGGAATTCCTCAAAGTTCTGTCTTGTGACGTTTTTCTGCTGGTTTTCCTCCAGGGGAATCAGTCCAAGGGACGGTCCAGGTTACTGCACCACAGCCCATGAATCAGTATCACAACCAGTGAGCGTGAAATCACAACCCCAAATTAATGGGAGCGCTAAGCAGGCCGTTTACAGGTAGTTCTCAGCTCGTGAAAAGCCTCATCTTTCAAACTGGGATGTTCTCAGTTCTGCCCAATTTATTCTAGTTTTGACTTAGAAAATACTTGGAAAGCTGAAAATGTATTACAAGTTATCGATAGTTTTGTACAGTCGTATCCTTTTAAGTACTGTTGATATAAAAGGACTCTCTTTATATATAAAAGGATATAAAAGGATCTCTCAAAACAGCAATTCCTGTCTCCTACTCTGGCTGCAAGCCATGGGGAAGGAGCAAGATAAATTCAATTAACAGCTAACTCAGGGTTTTTGTTTGTTTGTTTGTACCAAACAGAACACTTACAGAATAAGCCTTTGATCTTTGTTTTTAGAAGCTGAAATCTTTGTTTTTCCTCACCTCTTTCTTTTGTTTTCTTGAAACAGGAGATAGGTTGGGGCTCTGCAACCACTTGGCAGAGAAGAGAGGAGCAGAGGCGGGGATGCTGTCCAAATGTTCTCTCGCTGTGATCATAGTTAATAAAGCTTCTGTGTGATCCAAAGCTGTACTTGCATTATTATGCACTTGGAGTCCCCATGTCTCCACCCAGACTAATAATTAAACACTGCACATTTGCTTAGATGCCTATCTAAGGCAGTTCAGCTAATCTAGCTCACTCCAAAATCCAACAAGCCTCAGCTCTGTCCAATCTGTTTTCAATCGTTCCCCAAAGTTCCCCCTCATGATGCGATTTCCTTCCTAGAAGCCCACATTCACATTGGCTCATTTTCAGATATCCTTCATCCTTCTGTACATTGAATTAATTTACCCCCCTTAATTCTAACCATAACAGCGCAAGACCTCAGGTTCATATTTATCACTGGCAAATTCATTTTTTTCTGCAGATAATATATATTTTGACACTCAAAGTGCAACTAAGTAAACGCAGGGAGTACTCCTGTATGGCAGGAGTTTTCTTGTCATTCCTGCTGAAACAAGTAGAACTAGAGAGTAGTACTCAAAAACTTTGCACACTTCCTTCTCATGATTTTAGAGACTAGTGGAAGAAAACTGTAAACTGCAGAGCTGAAACAGAGAACAAGTTTTATCAACTTTATGCAATTCAGCTAAGCATCTACACAAACACGAGTCACTGGTACAGAGCACTTCAATCTCCATCTGCTCTTTCTCTCAGCAGGGGTTGTTTTATGTGGCATAGCAAAGAGAAGGCTTGGATGTGGGAAAACATCGTGTTCTAAATAATGTTAAGCACTTCTGAAAACTGTCAGAGGTATCTTTCTTCGATTTTCTGTGCCTAAATACTTGTCTAAATATGACCACTGAGTGCCACCAACACTTCTAATGGGACTTCTAGAAGGTAAAATGGGAGAGAAAAGTTTTCATAGTGATGCACACTCTGCAAAGTTACATACAACGGGCATTTAAAGATTTAAGCTCAGAAATACAGTGCAGGCATGTCCCTCTGTGCTCTTTGGGCATGACGAGCCATTCCAAGATCCCACAGTTACCACATACGACTTCAATACACGCCCCCAATTTTAAATTGCAGTATTGTTTCATATGCTAAGCAATATACTCTTATGCAAAGACATTACATAAAAGCTCATTAGTATTTATCACAAACCAGTTGCTTTCCTGCAAATATGTCAGCCAGAAAAGAAGGACAGGGGAAGGAGCCTCCTTGCAAGGCTGCACAGGTGAGCATGCCACCTGTAGAGAGCAGGGCC